TATTTAATATTTAATATACAATTATAAAATTTATTTGAAACAAATAGGAAAAAAACAATAACACATTTCTCGGTGTTGTTTCATGTATTTGAAAGTAAAAAGAAAAAAAGAAAAAGAAAATATACTACTTCTGTTCTAATATAATACGAAAGACGTAATAAAAAAAGAAAAAAAAGATATCCCCTGTCGAAAATATTTTCCGTTTAAAATCAACGGATAGATAATATATATCTTCTCTTTCTAAAACACGTTTCTCATCACGTTCGAAAAGATGGACGCGAGATAACAAACACTTCGAACGAAAGCTTAACGTACGGATAAGGATAAGCAAGTTTAAACTATACCTCAGGGCAAAAGTGTGTTTCTATAAGTTTGACGTTAAATCAGGTCGGAGTTTTGTTCCCCTTCCATTTCCTTCCCCCCCCCCAGTACCCCCTCCCCGTTCCCCATTGATTCTTCCTTCTCTTGCTATCCCTTACGATGACTTGGAAACTTTTCTCGTTAGTTATAGTTCGAAAGGTTTAAATAGAAAAGAAATCAAACCAATTATTATTTTTCCGTTCTTCCCCATACGTAGGAATTTTTTGTTTGTTTTTGGCTTCTTAATAGATCCCTTTCTTTTTTTCTTTCCTTTTTTGGCTTGCGGAGGGAGGGGTGGGAATATTTTTTTTTTTTTGTGGATTTAAATAAAAATTTGAACTTTTCTATTTTTTTTTTGTTTTATTTTTCTCATTTGTTTGTTTTTTTTTTTTTGTTCTTTTTCTCGAAATGATTCTCTTAAATGAATTTGTAACATGATATCAATATTAATAATAATAATGTGATATTTAATTATGGAAGCGTCTATCATATTCCGAGATCTTCGATACAGACGTCCTTATTAACTGGTCATTGTGGTAAATGTTAGATTGATATTCCAAAGTCGTGGTCGGCGGTTAAATCCGTCGTCAGTGGTCGACAAATTGCCCTATGAAACTTGGATTGCCCGCAAATTTCCTCCAGTTGAATACTTTTCTATTTGTTAAACTTCCGTTGTTGACAAATCTAACAGCTGACGAGTCCAAACTATGTCTATACTAAACGTATATTTATTTCATATATATTAATATATATATATAATAATATTTTTTATATTTTTATATATATATATTAATATAT